TGAGCTTAAGGCCAGCCTGGGCTACAGAGTGAGGAGTTCCAGGATAGCCAGGACTGTTTCACAGAGAAACCCTGTCTCAAGAAACAAAAACAAAAAGAATCATGAAATATCAATACATGGGTTTATAAAAACAAGAGATTAGGATTTTGATTAACAATCACATGTAATCAGGAAAGGGCTGGTTGCAGTTACCATGCTCTTAAGTCCTTATGATGAAAGGGGGTCTCCAGGGACCAGAGAACTTTCAATTAGATTGGGTGCCAAAAAAAAAAAAAAAAAAAAAAAAGGGTCAGGAAAGTTCAGGAGTGAACATCAGAGAATCCTAGATACAACTTCCAAACTAGTAGAAAGAGACATGAAACTTCAGCTCAGCAGGTAAGAGTGTTCGCTGCCAAGCTTGAGGATCGGAGTTCAATTCCAATGACACACTTTAGGAGAACCTTAACTTCCACAAGTTCTTATCTGACCTCCACACAAGCACTGTGGCTTAGATGGACATGTGTGTGTTTGAGTACACCCACATCCACACCCACCCACATGCACGTACTACATGTTAAAAAAAGAAATGAACAGCACAAAATAATGATAGGATCATATTCCAGGAATAATGACATTTCTAGGAAACAATCCCAGAAAACTTCCTGCTCCTCTGGTTCTTACAGCCTTCCCACCTCCACTTCTGCAATGATCTCAGAGCCTTAGGCACAGACTCAGTTGTAGATTTGACAGTTTTGTCTGGGCTCCACAACTCTATTTTAAGTGGTTGTGGTTTTTTGTAATAGTCTTCACTTGTTGCAAAGAGAAGTTTCCTTAATGAGGGGTGAGAACTATACTCGTCTGTGGGTATAAAGACAAATATTTAGAATGTGTAATGTGTACTCTTTCCCACCAGCTGCCTGGATCCCGCTGCTGTCTCAGCCCCCAAATAACACATAAGATACTATATTCATTATGGAGCTGTTGACCATTTGCTATGGTTTCTTAATGGCTAGCTCTGACTTAATTATTAACCCATAATTACTAATATATATTTTTATAAGGTCTTATCTTACCGAGAACACCAGACTTGTGTCCTCTCCTCCGGGGATCACATGGCAACTCGCTACTCTTAACTGCATTTCCCAGAATCTTCCATTTTTTTTTTTTTAGGTCAGACGAGATCAGGTCCTCTGGGTCCTGTGTCTAAGGTATATGGTGCCTTCAGCAGTAGGGACTTATCCTTCACCTCCAGGGATCAAGTAATGGGAATGTCAATAACCTATGATGTTTTAGGAGTGTCATGGATAACCCTGACCAAGAAATCAAAAGAGGGAGCTGGGCGTTGGTGGCGCATGCCTTTAATCCCAGCACTCAGGAGGCAGAGGCAGGCGGATCTCTGTGAGTTTGAGGCTAGCCTGGTCTACAGAATGAGTTCCCAGGACAGCCTCCAAAGCAATACAGAGAAACCCTGTCAAAAAAAAAAAATCAAAAGAGGGATTCTTATGCCTGGTGTTGGGGGTCTTGTTGGCTCCTGGGGAGAACACTGTCAGTCTGAAAGGGGAAATTCCATTTAATCTATATATGGAATTTAGGTACTAGAGGTGTCTTACAGGTATTTTAAGGTACAGCTAATAGTATGATTTCTTGTGAATGTTTCAGATAGTCTTACTATTATTTAAGTCTCCCCTGTCTTAATTTAAACCCCATATAATGTATTTTGATCATATCCCACTATCCTCTACACCTTTCCAGCCCCACTGAACCCCTTCTCCCCAAGCCCCCTCCTAACTCCATGTCTTTATGTGTGTGTCACTGAGTTTAACTGGGGGGGGGTGTGCCTGCATGAGAACAGGTGAGGGATATTAAGAGCAGAAATACAAACCCTCTTAAGTGCATTTGGGACATTTAAAAAATTGGCCATACCTGGACACAAAACTAGTTTCTAGTGGGCAGAAATTGATGGTAGACACTTGTATTAGTTTTCAGGGCTACTGTAACAAGTGACCACAGAGCCAGTCATTTAGAACAACAGAAATTTACCATTTCGTAGTTCACTAGATGGAGTCAGAAGTCCCAAACCAGTATTACTATTCAGAAATCCAATTATTGGCAGGTCCTTTATCCTCATGAATTCCAGGGGAATAACTCTGATCTGTGGCTGCCAGCATCGTAAGGCTTGTAGCCTTGTCACTCTGGTCCCTGCCTCCACAGCCTTGTCCCCTCCCGCATCTGTAACCACCTGTGTCTCTTACTGCAGATATTCTCGTGATTGTACTTAGGGGCCATTTGGATAATCTCTCTCAACACCCCCACTCCACTCCCCTCTCTATCTCAAGATCTTTGTTTTTTGTTTTTCTCTTCAAGACAGAATTTCTCTGATAGTCCTGGAACTAGCTCTGTAGACCAGGTTGACAGGAACTCAGAGATCCACCTGCCTCTGCCTCTCCCAAGGGCTGAGATTAAAGGCATGTGCCACCACTGCCTGGCTTCAAGATTCTTAGCTACATCGTCAAAGACCCCTCTCCGTGTAAGGTGACTAGTACTCAGACAGTGTCTGAGGTGTTACTGTGCATAAGGCAGCAAGCTGGATTCTTAGTGCTTCAAATGTATTGTAAGCCAGGAGAGAGGTGCTGTTTCCATTCCCCAGGGGGCAGGCTGAGGTAAAGGCATCAACACCCCTCCTGAGCTTACTGTTTGCAGCTCTGAGCTGTTAGCACAAGCCATTTAGCTTTCTATTTTCAAATTCCAGATTTACAGGAAATTCACAACCAGGACGAACAATTTACAAATACTTTCATCTAGATTCTCCACATTTTAGCGCTAAGCTTTGCACTATCACTCCCTCTGTATCTTTTAGTGGGTTTTTTGGAGACCCGGTTGCATATACCATGCTCCAGTCTCCCTGAAAAATGTAACAGCACACTTAAAAAGGGGGTGGTGGCGGGGTTTCTATCAAGTTACCAAAGTATAACTGTCCAAACTCAGGACTTAAATTTTACCAGTGGTGTTACACTAAGAGAGAATGGATACAGACCAGGACCCCACACATGACTGCTATATGCTGCACTCATTTGTCACATCTCCTTAAGTCTCATTTGACATTTGAAACTTTTGACAGGTATAGGCTCATGAGAACTGTTTGAGAGTTCATCTGAGTAGTCCAGGTGGGCCTTGAACTTGAAAGCCTCTCACCTCAATATCCCACATGCTGATATTATAGGTAAGTAACCCCATGCCTGGCTAGGCTCAGAATTTTCTAGACTATTCCTTGACTTACAGCTTGTCCTGCTACTTCTTGACTAGACTCAGATCATGCATTGTGGTTGGGCTACTGTGTAAGGCTAGATGCCTTTGTGCAGCACAACAGAATGCACACATAGAAAATCGTCTTAATGGGGCAGCAGTTAAGAGGACTGGCTGCTCTTCCAGAGGACCCGGGTTCAACTTCCAGCACCCACGTGGCAGCTCACAACCGTCTATAATTGCGGCTCCATGGAATCTGATACTCTCTTCCAGCCTCTTTGGGTACCAGACACACACATGGTACACTGACATACACACAGGCAAAATATCCATACACACAAAGTAGCAAAAAGTCAAAAATTGCCTTAATAATGGCAATATTAAAGTGCCCCCTCTTTTGAGAGACCTTGCAAAAATAAAAACTTGAAGTTGGGAGTGGAGTGAGTTGGGACAATATAGGGAGACTTGAAAAGTGGCAATAGGGGGCAGATATCTCATTAATTGTATGTGTAAAACTCTCAAAAAAAAAAAAAAAGTACTTGCTATATAGACCAGGCTGGCATCAAACAGTTGATGCTAGGGATTCAATGCAGTGGGTAAAGTACTTGCCCAGAACACATGAGGCCCTAAGATCAATCTCTACTACCATCAAGAGCAAAACTATAAAAAGATTAACCTAAAAGAGAACCAGGAGTGGTAGTCCACACCTATAGCCCCAGCACTTTCAAGGCAGAGGCAGGAGGATTGCAAGATCAAGGCCACCCTCAGCTACAAAGTGAGTTTGAGGCCAGCATGTACCGGATGCATGAGACTACCCAGCACAGGTGAGAATGTGCTTGTAAGCCAGGTGAGAGTTGCTGTTTCCATTTCCCAGGGGACAGGCCTGAGGTAGAAGCATCAACAGTCCCCCTATACAGAAGATAAAGTCTGACAACAGAAAACTGAACGTTGTGACTACACAATATGCTTCACTGCTTGAATGACTTCAAGTGTATGGTTTCAGTAAAAGTTCTCTTTTCAAGGCACTTATTTGAAATTTATGCTCTCTTGTCATTACATTCATCCTAGGGTGTTAAACAAAAGAGAACACCTGACACTATGAAGCCCCTAACACGTCAGAGGAGGAAAGTTTTGAAGCTGCTAAGGGATTCCCCAGCTAGGATTACAGCTACCTTCTAATTGGTTATAGGAAACAGATTTTACATCCTACAGTATATCATGCTTGTAGACCAATCCTTTTCGCTGCCTACAAGTGCAAATCTGCCACCTCTCAACCAAAACCACCAGGCCAGCCAAAGTTCGAAAGGACACAGAAAATACCACCCAGGTTACCAGTTCTATAGCAAACTGATGGGGAAAAAAGGACAAAGAGGTGCTTTTTATAAAGCTAAGTGTACCTTATTTAAAAGCCTATCCTGTATTTTGAGATTGTTTCCAATTGTTGACTGCTAGAATATTTTATGTAATGATTTTAAGAGCAGATAGTAGTGTGTGTGTGTTGGGGTGAGGGGCATGTTTTCCTGGTTGGTGAAACCAGGAGTTTGAAATATTTAAACACTTCAATCAATTAGTTTTTAAAAATAGATTTGCTGGTCTTTCAAACTAGGAATTGCATCCTACGAACACAATGACAGCCCTTGTATATTTCTCAGTACTGAAACCTTCCTGGTGACACTCTTGTGTTTACTTCGATACTTACAGTAAGCCTTAGCTTACTTTAATGTAGTGTAACTAGGGCTTCAGTTTCCATCGCCAAAATGTACTTTCATTCAACACCATGGCTGTATCATTTTTTATTATGATTTCTAATGGGACACCAACATAGAACAATGCCATTTCCATGACCCATCACCATCACAGGAGTCTGTCATCACAGACGAGTAGTATGGGTACAATACATTCATCAAGAAAGTTGGAGGTTCAAGCTTTCCTGGATCCAGTGTACACCACAGGATGTTGCTGTACACCTTGGCCCACCTGCCTTTACATTTCAATCATACTATATAGTGTTTAGTATTTACATACATTTGAACAGAGAAGACATAATATATGTTACAAGGATAACATTTGTGGAGTTATGTGTCAGTAAGAACTCTGTATTTCCACTCTCTTTATGTCATTAGCTACTTTTGAGAAGAACAGTTCCATATAAACACATGAGCTGGAACATACATTTAGAAAACTTTAATCTATATAAACTGCATTGTGTCTACCCATAGCAAATCAACTAAGCCTTGTTCCCCCTAATGTTAAACAACAAAAAAGTAGCTAGCTATCACACTTTATAGTAGATTCCAGACAATATATAAGGTGATCACTGGCATTCTGGGCCAGATGGGTTCCATGTTTACTTCTGTCATTCTGGGATTTGTTCCTTTCTGTCAAAGTGTTCTCATACATTTGGCAAGAGCATTTACATTAAACTTCAAATTACTCCTGCTTATATCCAGAGTGTGTGTATATATATATGTATATATATATTAAAAGCCTTTAAAAGGAGTTGGTTTTTCTACAGTTATGCCAATATTTGGCCATGTTAGCAATTACTGAAACAACAGTGGAGACTCCGGGGACAGGCAGGTGCCCTGGATCACCATGTACAGGCCCAAGAATCTGGCCAAGCGGTTCAACTTAGTTCTTCTTGTTTTTCCTCAGATAGTGACTTCGTAGGGACTTGTTGAAACCCATGGTTATTTTAAAATAAATCCAACGAGGCAAGGCTGAGTTTATTGAACCCTAGAGAAAAAAATTGAGGAGATACATAAGCAGAGTCTATTGGGCATCTTCCATTTCTCTACACTATTACTTACAGAGATTTTTAAAGGTCTTAAGTATACAGTTTGAAATAAAATATAAATGTCTTTTTTAGGATTAAAAATATGTACCACCTTGCTGGCAAAGTATACATCTTGATCTTAAGAGATCATATAGAAATGCCCAAACTGAAAACTACAGTTAAGACTGTGAAATATACATACCATGAGAGCATGGATCGCATATCCAGTGGTTCGGGACTGCAAACCCACTGTTTTAATTGCAGACTTCACAAACGTCTCTGGAGAGGGCTTATCCAAAGTTGGTTTCCGTATTTTTGCCAGTTTTGTAGCTACAAAGTATGGCAGGACACTCTAGAAAGGGTTCACACACACATAACAAAAACAAAAACAGAAAAACACACAAAACATGCCATTGATTAGGAAGGCTACCAACTCAGAACTGAGTGTGATGCCTGACTTGTTTGTTGGTGGGCATCCTCATGAAATCTAGAGTTTGTATCAAGAAAGAGAGAGAGAGGGAGGGAAAGACATGCTGCTATCTAAAGCCAACTTCACAGAACATATAACAGCAAAACCATGAACTGTAGCACAATGACCTTTGGGTAAAATAGAATAAGAGACTGGGAAATACGAAAAATAAGCAGAAGCAACCACTTTTATATCTTTACAAGGAAAGTGTGTCTGTGTGTGTGTGTGACTAAAGTCTGGGAGCTGAGACTCAGGGTGATCTTCCCATCTTATTCAAGCGGGACTTTGCTCTGCAGTCAGGCAGCATGAAGTTTCTGGTGTCTGAGGGTAGCAGGGCTTCACTTCAGCACTCCTGTGAATTAGTGTTCTATCAGCTTTAGTCCTTCTCCAGGAACATTTCTTGTCCCTAGTCTTCCCTCATGTCCTAACATCCTGGTCCTGAAGCTATACAAGCTGCTATTGTTAAGACAGGACCACATCTTTTTTGCTCCCTCTGTTTTGGGAAGACATGGTATAAAGAAAACAGCTTGGGTGACAAAAGTCATGTGATAGGATAGTTATAGGGTTGTCAATGTATTCATGAGCTTTTTCAGGCATTTCATGACTCCAGGTTCTTCATTGCATACGTACTCAGTGTTTTGGGTGTGACAGAACACAAGGGACCCCCATCATGAGTCTTGAAGCCATGAGAGAGGTTCCATCTGTCATTCAAAAGGCCTCAGGTGCACAGTTGCTTAAAAAAAACAAAACAAAACAAAAAAACAAAAAAACCTTGTTCTCCTCACAAGTGTGGAAGAAGGGATGAGGTGTGTTGGTACTGCTATTTAAGGAAGGGCCATTTTAACATGTGCTTGGTATGAAACATGTTCCTGTCACAAATAAAGCCGGGGTCTCTCCACACTTTGCATTTCTTTCCTGCGGACAGTGGAAGAACAGCCCCCCAGGTCTTTGGGGGTTTGCATATACATGCATTTTTATAATTTTGTATCCTTTTCACTCAAGTATAAATCAAAGGAAATAGCTCACAGTCCTTAATGTGTGAGCTAAAACTTCAGCCCATCTATTAAGAGCCCAAACTCCATGTGTTTAACTGGTGTGACTCTCCATCTTTCTCACTCTTGTAGGCAGAGGCAAACTCACACTAAGTACCAGTCATTAGAGTACACCGACAGTGGTGTGACTTCGATTCTGTAACTGGCTTCTGAGGATTTAGTTATTGGGATTATTAGTACAAGTGAGTGTGAAGTGTTGGTTTGCTAAAGCTGGAGTTGGGGTGCGGTGGGGGAAGGATGTAGCAATCGTGCTCCTCTCCTAGAGACAGCCATTAGAGCTGAGCTCTGCTCAGTTCCACTGCCTAGCAAAGCTATCTGTTCCTTCTGCTCAGCTCAGCTCCAGCCCAAGATGTTCCTTCTTCAGAGTCCCTCTGCTAAAGCAGAAGCTCATGCAGAAATGTAGCAATCTCCTCAGGCTCTGGCGAGAAGTTATTATTATTATTATTATTATTATTATTATTATTATTATTATTATTATTATTATTATTATTATTATTTGGTTAACTCTGAAGGGAGTTTCCCAAGATTTAACTGTTTCTTCTTCTTCTTCTTTTTTTTAATCAGCCCCCCTAAGGAATGTCTCAGCAAAGGATATTATATTTTTTTCTGCTCAGCTCCCATAAGTAAACATCTCAGTAAAGGTTCTTCTGTTCTGCACTGGTAAAAGATCTTCACCCAAAACTCTTTTAAGAGATGTATTTGGGAAGGGTGGGAAAGGACAGCCAGCAACTGAACAGGCAGAGGGGCTTATAAAGGGCTTCTTAGGGATGAGTTTTCCCAGGGAGAAGATGTTCTGCTCAGGGATTGGTTGGTTTAGTTGGTGAGGGGCAGAGCTGGCTCTGGTTTCAGGGTCAAACTGTGTTTCTTTCACTGACCCTTTAGCCTTTTGCCTCTTTTTTTAAGATTAAGGCATTTTTCCTTTCACTGGCTCTGGGTTCAGGGTCAGGTTGGTAAATTCCCTGTGGAGGGAGTGGTTGGTTTTCTGCTCAGGGACTGGTTGGTTTCCTGCTCAGGGAGTCCTTGGTTTCATATTCAGTTGGTCATGAGCAGAGTTGGCTCTGGTATCAGGGTCAAACTGTGTTTCTTTCACTGGCCTTTTTTCTTTTCTTTTTGGCTCTAGTTTTGGGGCCAGGGCATATATCTTTCATTGGCTCTGGTTTCACAGTCAAAGTGTGTTTCTTAGGTTCTGGGTTCAAGGCTAAAGTGTTTATTTCACTAGCTTTGGTTTCAGATCCAGGGTGTGTTTCTTTCACTGGCTCTGGCGTTAGGGTCAGGGTGGGTTTCTTTGGCTGGCCCTTTCCCCTACAAGTAGTACACACGTATCTCTTTTTTCAAAGAATGAAATGTGTTGTCCATTTTTGCCATCAGTTTGAAAAGATCCTAGAGAAGTCTCAGATTGATAGGCTGTGAACTGTGGGGGTCCAATTTAACTTGTTTGCTCACTACCTGGAATAGCCAAGCAGGGTGGACCCTTGTGTAAATCCTGACAGCAGGTGATAACATGTATGTGCACAGCTTTTCTCATCTTTTTGCCTCAGGCTTCCTGGTTATAAGTGAGACTGAGAAGACCTTTCCAGAGAGCCGTCTACAAGGGGTGCTAGAAGGTCTTGAGCTCCAGAGATAAAGCCAGTCTGTAACTATGACTTTCACCTGTGAATAATGCTCTGCACCTTTCTCTCATCCATTTTTCTCTCTCAGAAGATGAAAGTGGCATAAATTGGACTATTTTGATAATTACAGAATTCAGTTGCACTGCCTGACTGAACCACATGGTGTCGCCACAAGATAATGTATGGCTTTAGGGTTCAGCTAGCCGGTGGTGGGGTTCTGAAGAAGCCTCCAGCATGGGAGTGGGGGCAGGGAAAGACATGTATACTTGGGAAATCCTGGTCAAGGTATATTTTCCCAACTAAGAAATGGAAATTCTAAGCTGGAAGGCTTGGGTACTCCACCCTGGATATAAGTCAAAGTGGCCAACAGTGGCCTACTGAATTGTGAAGGGATCACAGAGCAACAGTTTTGCGGCTAACCCTAAGGGAAAGAGGACTCTGCCAGGAAAGAGATAAAGGAGTGATAGGAGCAGAGAAGAGCTGTGAAGAGCAAGGCATTTTCAGGGGACTGCAGAGAGTTTGGTACAGTCCAGAAAACAAATCCAAGTGCTGGGCAAGTTCTAGAACACAAGTTCAAGAAGACAGTTGTATCCACCTCTATTCTCAGTGCTGAGAGCAGCATGTGGTACACAGCCAGGCAGTGTCCATCTACTGAAGGCAGTATACAATAGCACTTCATATGCAGAGCACGGAACAGTCCTGAGGCCCTTTCCACTGAGCCAGCATTTTAAAATATTTTGAAGCTTAAGCAAGATCATCTGTCTCAACAAAGGTAAGCCTATTCATCTAGCAGTGAAGGATATAAAAGGAATATGTAAAAGTATAAAAAATAGAAAAGTATAGCAATGTTTATATCAAAAAGCCACCAAGGTAAATAAATGCCCAAGAAAAAATAATTAATGTATCCTTTGCCTATATAGGAACCCATTATGGGGAACAAAATTAGAAATATGCCTATACATTTAAAAATTTTTTCAACAGAATACACTTAAAAGTCACTTAAGTTCAACAAATCACCATTACAAATTCTGCCTCCTCAGAAACTGCCTGACCCTGATAGCCACAGCTGTGGGCAAGTACCTTGGTTTCCAAATTGAGAGTCTCAGAATGGAAATAGCTAGGCCATAAGGCAGAGCTGGTGCTGCCGTTATGTCTCTGCTTACTTATTAAAATAAAAAGTCCTTGAGACTACTCTTTGGCATATTGGTCTCCCCTATTCCCTGGAGCAGACTGCTTAGACCAGGCTCTTTGTGGAGCGTGTGCTCTGCAGTGTTGGCTCAGGGCAGGAAAGGCAGTCCAACTGGACACCATGGGTAGTGGAGAGAAGGATGCTGGAAGCCACATAGCAGATAGGCAAGAATCTAACAGAGTCTTGGAATATCACACGGCAGAGCCAACTGTGAACTAAGACTCCTCAAACCTAAAAGTGATCAGAACTTTGTGATAATGCTTTGTGGAAATGTGAATCAAGGGACAGCAAATTTTGCTCTTTTGAACAAGATTCCACATGTGGCATCTAATTTGTGTTAATCTGCCTTCTCTAGACCCACGTGGTCCCCCTCTTCCTGCTTCCTCACCATCTTCTGGTCCAGCATAGCAAAGCCAGCTGCATGGTAATTTCAGCATCAGGCTGACGATAGTCAGCACATAGTTTTTTGTTTTATTTTCCTTCTTTTCCAAGTTGTATGTAATGTATATGTACTTGTGTTTGGGTGGCTTTCTTTGATCACTCTCCACCTTAACTTTTTGGAGCAGGGTCTCTTGTTGAGCCTGAGGCTGGTCAATGGGCTTCAGGAATCTGCTGGTCTTTCCTTCTCTTCCCCAGAGCTGGGATTAGACACATGCCACCATGCCCGCTTTTACTTCACACGTACTGACTGAACTATCTCTCTAGCCTGTATACATTCTTAAGGCAGAAAGAGGCTGGGGTTCCTATCAGTTTAGGGAAACTTCACTTCTTTTTAAAATCTGTGTCTTTACTTATCAAAACCTGAGGATCTGAAGCCCCCCAGAACATATGAATGACTAAACATATTATAGTTTAGCTGTTTACATTTCTCTACTTACAGACTATGAGCTTTTCCATAAAAGCCCTTTTGACTACCTCAGTGGTTACAAAGAACTTAAGATATTCTAGAAGATGGAGGTAAAGAAACTTTCTGATGATAGATAAGTCTTCATCAGGAATAAATTCTAGCATTTCAGCCCAATATTGTGCACA